TCTCACAGTGAAAATTATGAATTTTATGTAAGTGGTCGTTTTTATTATCACAGTACGTAGGCTCATCCATTGCCGAAACAGGCAGCCGTGTGCCATTTTCGAAGGTACTATTGATATTTATACTAACTAGAATGATTTCAGTTTTTTGTTTTCGGTGGGAAAATTGACGCTTTCAGTCAAGGATTTTCAGTCATGTCTGAAAAGGGTTATAAAGCCAGAATTATTTAAGCACATTGAAACTGTCACAGTATTTCTGCTTTCCAGCATAAACATACAGCAGTCAAAAACAATATAAAACAGAACAAAGCAAAACAGAGCATATATACAAAGCAAAACAATCAAACTTTCTAACCTGTCATTGGTTTGAGAAACACTTTGAGTCGCCCATCGCGTATTTCAAAATCAGGCGACCGTCTTTTCTTCATTTTGGGAATGGGAAAATAAAGTCGGAGCTCGGGCTGTTCAGCAGACAGCCACATACGTTCATCCGATCCTTCTGGAACAGTACCTGAAAAAATCCAGAAAAAAATCCCATATAGATAAGTACAAGGCCGTTTCGGTAGGAGAGAACAAATAGATAGATAGATAGATAGATAGATAGATAGATAGATAGATAGATAGATAAACAGATAGATAGATAGACAGATAGATAGATAGATAGACAGATAGATAGATAGATAGACAGACAGATGTATAGATAGATATATAGATAGATAGACAGATAGATAGATAGATAGATAGATAGACAGATAGATAGATAGATAGATAGATAGATAGATAGACAGATAGATAGATATATATATATATATAGACAGACAGATAGATAGAGAGAGAGAGAGAGAGAGAGAGAGAGAGAGAGAGAGAGAGAGAGAGAGAGAGAGAGAGAGAGAGAGAGAGAGAGAGAGAGAGAGGGGGTGGGGGTGGAGGGAGAGTCACATTGATGGAAGACGTAAATAGCTGGCTAAACTTAATGGTAATCTTCGTTGTTCAAAGGTTTAGGCTATTTGGCTCGTAATTGAAAGATTGGATTCCAACCTCGTCAGAGGCTCGACCTTACTCCTTTAGAAAAGGTCCTTTACCCCGAATTATCTTCTCTTCACTCAGTTGTGAATTGGTGCCACGCTATAAGCGAACAATCTTGGCAGTTTGATCATATTTGAGCGCTGAAACCGGTTTCTGTCACTGTATTATGTTTCCCGGAAAATCGATAAAGTTTTTGTGTTTTAGGGTCTGCTGGGGTAATAATGCAGATTTAAAGAGCATAGAGTTAATTGTTGAGCGGGTATTAATATTGTTATTATTATTATTACTCTTATTATTATTTTCATTATTATTAGTATTACCATTTTTAGTTTTATTATTATCGTTATCACTATTATTATTATCATCACCACCCTTATTATAATTATTGTTATTACTTATAAAAGAAAGATTGGGTTGTTTTCTTGCGAGCTAGAGAGGTAGATGCTGAGATATAACGATGCCTCCATATGAACAAACAGACCTGACAACATACTTACCTTGTGCCCACACATCTGCTTAAACACAAACACCAACACACACACACACACACACACACACACACACATACGCACACACACACACACACACACACTCCAACACACACGCCCACACACACATACACACACATACACCAACACACACACCCTCCACACACACATACACACACATACACACACAAACAAACACACACACACCAACACACACACGCCCACACACACATACACACACCCACCAACACACACATACACACAGGCACACAAAAACACATACAACAGCACACACACACACACACACACACACACACACACACACACACACACACACATAATGACATTCTTTAGTCAGTGTGAGGTCTTGTCCAATGTTCTACAAAATTCATCATATTGACATCAGTTTGGGAGAATGTCTAACTATATTTTGTCCATTATTCTTAAGATCTACATTACTATTCATATTATCTTTCTTTCTATCAATAGTTCAATCATGATACTGCGGTGAACTGAAAAGCAATGCACATACAAAGGCCAAATTATTATGATCACTCTGTTACTCACAGTTTGAAAGTAAACATCTTCTCTCCTCTCTTTGTGGTGGTGAAGCAAAGATACTCCAATGTTGTTCTTGTAGCTTGCTGAGAATCTTTTCTTTTGCCTTTTGGTCTATTGTTGGCAATTTACGAAGTCTTAACTTGTTTAGGATTCCCATTTGGAAATTCTGCATTCCGAGTAATCGGTCCCTAAAACACGAAAAAAAAAATAATGTGAATGAAAGGAAATACATTGTACTCATTAAGTTCTAGTGTACACAGCATAAGAAGAAAAGCACTAATCCTAAAAACAAAAACAAATATAATCTACATATATGTTCAGGCTATTTCAAGGTTATAGGTTTCGAACAACCCGAGTTTCCTATTCTTGTCCAAGTTTGATCAGAATTATTGCTACTGTAGTAAGGATTAATTTTTTATTTCTCTCAGTATGGTGGCCTGACTAGAGAACAAGAGCACCGGCTATGTTTGAAATGGCCACACTCGGAGGGTAAAGCTGTATACTGTATCAAAATGGATTTATCAGGAATAACTGAAAGTAATAATAAACGAGTTGAACAGTTGATTTGTGAGTTGGTAAGTGAACACGAAGGACTAGTAATATCTAGTATGAAGAACTAAATTAACAAATTGATAGGCGAGTAAAATCTAACGTATGTGCGTACACAGATAGGAGGATTGTATATAAAAGTACACAAACACTCGCATACGTACGATATATATTATATATATTATATGATTGTGTGTGCGCCTGTGTGTTTGCGTGTGCGTTTGTGTCTGTATGTGTGTGAAAGAATGATAGTGAGTGAGAGAGAAAGATAGAAAGAAAGAAAGAAAAAGAAAGAAAGAAAGAGAGAGAGAAAGAGAGAAAGAGAGAGAGAAGGAGAGAGAGAGAGAGAGAGAGAGAGAGAGAGAGAGAGAGAGAGAGAGAGAGACTCTCTCTCTCTCTCTCACACACACACACACACACACACACACACACACACACACACACACACACAGAAAGAGAGATGGCTAATAGTAGATATGGAAAATACTGGAAACCTGAAGAACCAGTAAAAGACCAAGAGGGGAAAACTATTTTTGGAAAGGAAGCTCAGTCGAAATGATGGGTAGAGTATTTCAATAGTCTCCTGGACAGACCACCTAGTAACCTGCCAAACATCCTGCCAGCAAGAAATGAACTACCAATCTGCTGTGATGCTCCTTCAAAACAAGAGATTCTGGATGCCATTAAGAAGCTGAACAAAGGTAAAGCGGCCGGTCCTGATCAGACTCCACCTGAACTCCAAAAACAGATGTGAATGTGACGGCAAACCTCCTCCTCCCACTGTTTACCAGGATCTGGAATAAGATCAAGTTCCCGAAGGATTGGAACGAAGGACACCTAGTGAAGCTTCCAAAAAAAGGGGGATCTCAGCAACTGCAGCAATTACAAAGGGATCACTCTTCTCTCAATACCAGGTAAGGTCGTCACAGTTTGACGATCTGGATTTTGCGGACGACTTGGGGCTCCTGTCGCACACTCAGGAACAGATGCAAGCAAAGACGTCCATATTAAACAGCCTATCAGAGTCTGTTGGACTGAAGATCCACCCGGAAAGTCAAAGATCTTGAGGACAGATGCACAACGAAAGGAGCAGGTCACAATAGAAGGAAATTCACTAGACTAGAAGACGTTGAATCCTTCTGCTATCTTGGGAGTGTAATTAGCAGAGAGGGAGGAACAGGTGCTGAAAAAAAGTCTTGCATTGGAAAAGTACAGTCTGTTTTCATATCTTGGGATAGGATTTGGAAGACCAGAGATATCTCACTCCGAAAAAAGGTGAGGATTTTCAATTCAAATGGTAAGTCAGTCCTGTTGTATGGATGTGAGACATGGACGAAGGCAGTGGCGACGAATAGGACATACTCATAGGAAGTCAGGCAGCTACATAACAAAGAAAGTGTTAGATTGGAATCCTCAGGGTAAGAGATCAATGAGAAGACCGCGTGGAACCTGAAGAAGAATCAGAGAAATTGATGTAAAGAAAAGTGGGGAGGCATGGAAAAAACATCAAGAGGCTAGCCCAGGATTGAGAAAGGTGGAAAGTGTTTGTTCGTGGCCTATATCCTGGTGCAGGGTGAGAAAGGCAATGATAATGATAAATAATTAATATAGTAGATCTGGACATTCAGAAACAGTAATTCTCCTTATTTACGTTCCTTTTATGGAGCTGTTTCTTCTAGTGACATACAGTGCCGTTGGAAGGTGGACGTCAAACTAATTAATGGTCGTCTCATTTGTTTAAAACGTTAACTTTTTACCCTTCATTTTAGCTCTAGTTTATCAGTAGATAGCCAGATATCTGTATTCAACAGTAAAGCAAGTACAAGTACTAACAACTTTTTCACCTCACTGGAGGGGAAATTAGATTATTAAAATGTCCTGTAGCTGTCTCCTGTTGTTCTTTTTCGCCTCAAACTTTCAAGTGTTATCAGGAAATGAGTCCTAGTAGACACATTTGCAATCGTATTTCATCTTTCTTTTTGTATTCCCCATTGGATTTGTGGTTAAGAAATAGACAAACTGTTCAGATTATCATGAGTGCATATATTTATGTTTTCTTCTTTCTCTTTTCATTTCTTCGTTCTTTTCTCCACTAGCAAGGGTGGCAAATTAATGCTGACTTACGAAATTGCCTATTTGAGTCTAGAAGGGTCTTATTCAAACTAAACGTAATCTATGAAGTAAACGAAATACATCCTCCTTAGGGCACCTTTTCATTCACTGTCCCATAAGGGTGCTATACCTTCGTTTCCTTGTCTTTCAAATGAACATAATAATTCCCATTCAAAGACACGCTTATCCTGTCGTTGTGGAGTCTTTTATATTTCCATTTCATACAAATAATAATAGCGCACCCGTCAACGTCTGACGACTACCAATACATCCACTGAATAGAAAAATATTTCTCCAGAAGAATTAAAGGTTAAGATGACTTTTGACTTCTGCTGTGGCGGATGAGAGAATTCTGGCAGAGAAATGTTTGCCACATTTTGAACAATTAAAGCTTTACTCCCATTTGTGGATGAGCGTAGCTTGCGGGATCTCTCTTACATTAATCAACGCTTGTCTGGGATTCTCTAGAGAGACAGGAGAGAGAGAGAAAGAGAGAGAGGGAGAGAGAGAGAAAGAGAGAACGGGAGAGAGAGAGAGAGAGAGAGAGAGAGAGAGAGAGAGAGAGAGAGAGAGAGAGAGAGAGAGAGAGAGAGAGAGAGAGAGAGAGAGAACAGTACTCCTTAGCTGTAAGGTCTTATTGTCTCAAACTACAGAGCATTATCTATATGTTATATAATTCTGGTGGCCTGATCATTGCGTCTCGTTTTAGAAGAAACCACACACTTTCCAGATCTCAAAATTTAAACGAATGTAGAATTCAATATTCCCAGGAGTTTGAAAGAGTTGGATTTTCCCGATTTTGAACTTATGAAACTTGAAATTATTCAATTTTGTATTCATGTGTGTGTGTGTGGGTTGGGGTCGGGGAGGGGGGTGATTGATGGGGAACGGGATAGAAGGTGATTTGGGGTGGGGCAGCTATCTGTACAACAATATAACATATACACCAATTGTAAGTCTTTTACGACCATGGCAACTGCATTCGGTCATGTGAGCGCGCTGTACACATTAAACATTTTTATTTGTAGGAAATTCTGAACTTTGCCCTGTTGGCTGCCGAGACCACCAAGGGATTTTGAACGTGAACAACTTGCACACTGCACCTCCGAGATTTTTCGACCTTGTCCCAGAAGGCAAGGTGTAGATCTTTCCTCCCAGAAGATCAGGGGTGTAGCTGAAAATCAGCTGTAAGGAGCCAAGAAATATCAGTAGAAAGGCTGCAGAAAGAGTCAGGAGCCCAGAGGAAGTGACAATGGGGGTGAGGGAGTGGAGGCAAAAGGTAGAGACGAAAACAGACGACAGAACATAGAGAGAAGGAAAAGAGTTAAAAGAAGACAATTTTAGAATTTAAAAAATTCAGTCGCTAGGTAGATTCCAACCCGGGACATTTGAATGAGAGGCGAGCACCTTAACCTCCAGGCTACGACAGCCGCCACATATTTTGAATAATTTTGCTGTTGATATTTTAGATTCTAGTTGTAACGACCTTTGTGTTGCAGTTTAGAAAGAAAGTGACACCCTTCATACAATCAAAATTTAAACGAAAGTAGCAATCAATATTCCCAGGAATAATATGGTGGAGCTGGAATGTTATAATTTTGAGGTTCAGAGCGAATAAAGCTGTAGGCTTCAATCAGAATACATTTTTCCATAATGCTCTAGAGTTAAGCCATTGCTTTCCAGATGCACTTAAAGTAATATGAGCGTCCGTTCCTTTAATAATAGGTTTCAAACTTTTTGTGAGCCCAGGCTTATAACGTCAAGCGTGCGTTGGTGACACTACAGTAAGGTGGGTGGTCACTCTGGTGTGTCCTACAGCAACTCACGATAACTCAAGCTCAAGAACTGGGCGATGAACGGTGGGCGTCAAACAATGGTGTGTGGGTTGTCTATGTCGTGATATTGTCATGTCATATTATTATTCATGTGATATTACTCCTGTATTCATGCCTTAATTAATGGGTTGTTTTTTTTTGTACACATTGTTTTTAAAACATTCCCCATTTTGATCAATAAAATGGAATTTACTTATGTTTATTTTTAGTTTTGTTTAGTAGATTTATTCTAGAGAAGTAGTGACGGTGAGACTGTCGTTAATATTAATTAGTCACAACTGAAGAAGTGTTTCGAAAGCAGTAATAATCATGATGATCAAAACCCAAAACTCAGCTGACACGCACTGTCAGCGTGTTGTGTATATTCTCTCTCTCTCTCTCTCTCTCTCTCTCTCTCTCTCTCTCTCTCTCTCTCTCCCTCTCTCTCTCTCTCTCTCTCCAATCAATTTGTAAGCGAGCAGATTGATTCTGACAGCATCCTCTGGTCTCTCTATTTTTTATACTTTACACCTAAAAAATACAACAATTGGTATTTAAGGCGCAAACACTTATCCGAAATAAACATAATAACAACATACGCACGAACAAATACAATTTTTACCTCTCTCTCAACAGCTCTCTCTGTCGGTAACCCATCTCTTTTAACGACTCTATATCCTCCGATGGCATCCGACTCGAAGGCGATAAAAATTCCTCCTCCTCCAAAAACTCATCGTCATTTTCATCGTCAAATATATCCCCGATCGGGGTCAAGTCTTCAAAATCCGAAAGGCTTGGCGGTAGTCTGGTAGACGGATTGTCACTTTGGTGGCTCTGCACAGACGACGAACTGGTTCGAGCCTCTACTCCGGAAAGTGCTGCGTGTGGCCATAGTAGGGCGAGAAGAGAGATCAGTCTTGTGTAGAGATTCATGATGGAAGCGTGTTGCCTGGTTTATGCTAACCCTCTGTATAGAAACAGGATCCCTTGAAACATCTGGGACAGACGTGACTGAGCAAAATATCACTGGTTCTAGTTACTTCTGTTTTCCAGTAAGGGGCAAAGAAGCACAAGTACCAACGGGGTTGACCTGTGTGATAAAAAAAAATCAAAAGTTATATTAAAAGCCCAAAAGATAAGACTCCATTCTTCAGTACTTCGCATGTTGGTTAAAATGGAAAGGGTATTGATCGTAGTGGGGGAAAACAAATTAATTATGATACCGATGGTTAGGGACGGTTGCAGTAGATGTTGCAATAACGGCGATGGTAGTTCTGGAATAAATGCTGATAAAGAGTTGGGTTGTAAAAAGTGGTAGTGGTTAATGTGATCACAGTGACAGTTATTGTTCTGGGGAAAGGGAGGCAGTGCGGGCGGGAATTGGGACCGGCAGATACTGTTAAGAACAGGTGAAAACTTCTACAGCCTTAACCAATTCCAGGTTGTCAAACATGACAAGTACTTATTTAGATTACAGAAAACATCATGTTCCTGAGTTCTCAGCACGAAGTAATACACCAATCTCACGGACAGACCTACAGTTAGCAAAAACTGTTATACAGACGTTCAGCCTAAACAAGACAGATGTCATGTGTCTTTATAACCATAGAACACTCAATCATCGACAGAGTGTATTACTTCTAGGAAACTTTAAAAAAAATATTGCAACAAGTGGCAATGCTAAATGTAAAAATTAAAATTATGCTGCCTGTCCATTTTTAAAAGTTAGCTTTTCCTTTGGAACGTGCAAAAAGTGGCCTGACAGATACCACGGTATGACATCCAGTATGACATTGCCATCAGTCTTGCAATAGTCCGACTTCATTGAGGCGTATGAAAACGCGATCTTCAGGTTCACAAGAGGTGACAAAAATGTGCTTCCTGAGAAAGACAAAAAACCTGAACGAGACCCGCAATGTACTCAGGATCAAATACTGACGGACAGCCAACAATGCTGGACGAAGACGGGCTTATAAAGAATCTCCAAATACTGCATTCTATCGACAAAAATACCAAACCACTGTATTGACTACTTTAAGGCATAGCCGAATACTTGGAACAAAGACAGTTTAAGTTAACATTCACAGAATGTCCATCTTCTAGGAGCTTTGCTCTAAAGGTGCAAAATACACACACACACACACACACACACACACACACACACACACACACACAAACACACACACACACACAAACAGACATACAAAACGAACAGAACAAAAAACAACAACAAAATATCCAACTGAGAAAGGATAATACCAGCCACTGGGAAGGGAACAACGTGACGGACGGCGCCCTCCAAACCACGAGAAAATATTTTTAAAAACTAAATGTTGTAGACACTTATCTCCAAATATAGAAATAATTCTCACGTTCCCCACGTGGCAGATTAATTGTAACTGTGAAGTTGGGCCTCCAAGCACTTGATGTATTTGGAACAGACAAACAGAATGTAAACTTTAAGCAATAATAGGATGACTGGACAATTGTTTAGGCAATTCAGTTGTTTTCCACCTTCTCCCTGACTTTGATAAATAAAAAATCATAAAGTAAAAAAGCAGTAAAAAAGTTATTCCCGCATCCGATCCGGACCTTGGGAATTGCCTTGTTAGTGAGACAACTTTCTGGACCTTCGGCATATTGTGGTAGGGTGGCTAGTTCTTTCCACGCCACCTTTACTTCCCCAACTCGAAGTCAGGTACCCATTACGGCTGGGTCGGCAGGAGGGGGCGAAAAAAATCCGTGTCCGAACCGAGCCTCGAACCCGGACTTTCCGCTTCGGAGACGAGCGCACTAACCGCTCCCCTACCGCACCCTAATAAAAAAGTAGTATGTTATTAACCCCAACAAAAACAGTATAATTTCAGATGGTCATGCAAGGCTTTTGTTTGGTGAGGGCTATAGACGAATCCTGAATGGTCTCAAGTAGACAGTTCTGGGAAAAAAGAAATCCACCCAAATAAAATCACGCCTATAGAAAAAACATGTGAACGTTACTACCTGGAAACAGGCGGCGTAAGATCGCAATGATTGAAAGTTAAATGGGCAATAGAGCATACCCGACTGCGCTAAAATCCAACAAATGAAAAAAAATTAGATAACTCAACAGAGTATCGATAATTCCTGGTTTCCTTTAATATATCTCAGCATACGCTTTGTCTTATATTTGAAAGACTAATTTTTTTTTCTGATTTCTTTACTTTGATTATGTTGACTATTTTCAACACTCTATTATAATATATAAGTCTGCATTTAATTGTAATGCGATTCTCAACGTTGACATTTTTAAGTAAGGCTAGCGATATGTTGTTTAAGATGTGTGTGCTGATTCCAAATACGTAATTATTTTATAGATAGCATGGACAATTTTTGTGTTTTAACTTTGGAAAATGATCCTTCAGATAGCCCGGTTTCACTCTGTCTGAAAACTGATTTTTAAATAAATCCTTATGAAAATGTAAAAAAAAAAAAGAATGGAAATCACTCATTTGTGAATGTTGGTGCCAAGAAGTAGAAGTCTAGTGTATTGTCTTAACTTACTCGTATCAAAAATAATAAAACGAGACAAAACGTGAAACTGGGAGTTCATACTTTGAATCGTAACATGACTAAAACGTGAAACTGGGAGTTCATACTTTGAATCGTAACATGACTAAAACGTGAAACTGGGAGTTCATACTTTGAATCGTAACATGACTAAAACGTGAAACTGGGAGTTCATACTTTGAATCGTAACATGACTAAAACGTGAAACTGGGAGTTCATACTTTGAATCGTAAAATGACTAAAACGTGAAACTGGGAGTTCATACTTTGAATCGTAACATGACTAAAACGTGAAACTGGGAGTTCATACTTTGAATCGTAACATGACTAAAACGTGAAACTGGGAGTTCATACTTTGAATCGTAACATGACTAAAACGTGAAACTGGGAGTTCATACTTTGAATCGTAACATGACTAAAACGTGAAACTGGGAGTTCATACTTTGAATCGTAACATGACTAAAAATCTAACCAAGATGGAACAGACCCGTTTATCGGAGACCTGCCAATTTAATGACAAAACGATTGATTACATTAGTTTTGGCTAACAATGGGATAGTTAGTTCTTATCTTCTGGGAGCGTCGGATTAACCTTTGTTATCTAAAGAGGACAACGGGGGTGAGAAGGACAAGAATTGCAGCGACGGAAGACATTAAGGCGGACAATAAAGGTGACTGAGAGATAAAGAAAAATGATGGGGGCGAGAAAGGGTGACAGAAACAGACAGTAGGGATCATGACATAGCATTTTACGTAATAGCACGCTAATTATAGATTGTTTAATTCCATCTGACTGTGGTAAAAACAAGATACAAACAAATTGTGCTGTTTAATCTCCCCAGGTCTGAGCATGATAGCCTAAAAATTGCATGACAAGCAGAATCCAAAAGCCCATTAATGAAGGTCACTGCAAACAAGGGTTCTGGCACGTTTTCTTTGATATTAGCCTATTGCAGGTAAAATAAAATAAATAACAGGGGATAAACAGTACACACTAAAAAACAATAAAAGTTGACCTATTTTCATCAGTACTATACTTGAACTTGACAGCCCGTCGTACGTCTAGACGGTCTTTGGAGGAAATCGACTACTCTGGAATGTGCGAACAGTGTAGTGTCGCTGTCTCAGAATGACCAATTTGTAGGCTAAGTTGCCTTAAATCATTTGTAGTGGTGATCTCGTGTATGCTCCTTAAGGGTGGCGTTTACTATAGGGCCTAAATAATGAAACCTTTTTATAACTAGAACAAGATTTTCAAAAACCATTTTTGTTTGTTTGGCTTCTAACCTACAGGAGTTCAATGCAACGTTGTATGCTCATGGGCTAAATTAAACAAATGAGATATACATTTTTAACACAGACAAACCAAAGTAAGCAAGCTATACTAGGCACGGAAGCAATAATAATATGATGAAAATTGCTGAAAATTTTTACCGAAGTTACGGTGGGAATAAAGGCGTTCTCGTTAAGGTACTTGAAGTTTATGTTTTTCCTGTCATCTATTTGGAATATATATTTTCGTTATTATCACTTTTATGAGGTTAAACGAAGTAGTGGTGGATGTTTTTTCTTTTTCTCTTTCTTTTTTTTCTGCTATTTATTTGTCATGTCACAAAAAGGAAAGAGGAGATTGTTCAAGAGTAAGTGGAAAATTTAGGCTGCAGCCACATCAGAGAACAACCGAGAAGCAAAGAAATAGGATAAAATCAGTTTAATATTTCCTTCTTAAAGCAAGTTAAACTCTGAGGATCTGAATTGTTAATGAAAAAGCCAATCGCATATATAAGCACAGCACCATAAAGCAAAATCCAATTTTTTTGGGGGAAAGCAGTCATCTTAATGGTACTTACGTGACGAGTTAAAGAACAGAGAGTCCTATTCTTTCTCGATTCTCTGTAAAGATGTAAGTACTTTGCTCGTAACACAACTAACAAAGTCAAAAACAAACTCAATCTCCCCTGCTTTCTTGCATAAATCCTTTGACTTATATTCTTTGCTCTTCAACTTTACCTTCTTTTTATTCACTTCTACGAGACTGGCGTATAAGAGTACTATGGTATCGCGTAAGTTCAGTTATCGTTGACATTGAATGGATTATTTTACACCGCTTCCGAATTTGTATTTATTTATATTGAGCAAAACGTGGAGGAGTTTCGTCAGCGTGCCGTGAAGCGCGCGGTTCGCGCGTGGAACCGTTCCTCTTTCCCTCCGTCCCTCCCACTTCTGAAAAGCACTGGGTGAATGAGCGTAGCCCACTTCATAAATGATGAATAAGGAAAACTAGGAGTAGGAGTTAACTGCAAACATGATGCAATAAAGCATGGGGGGAGAAAAACAAGTGCGTATTTTGTTTTCTTGTTTTGTTAATTTTGACGATGTCGTGGGTGTGTTTGCCCACATTGTTGTGAAGAGGACCATTCACTCATAGTTGTTGTTGTTGTTGATATTGTTGTTGTTGCTGCTGTTGCTGTTGTTGTTATTGGTATTGTTGTTGTTGTTATTGGTGTTGTTGTTGTTGTTGTTGTTATTGCTGTTGTTGTTGTTGTTGTTGTTGTTGTTGTTGTTGTTGTTGTTGTTGTAGTTATTGGTATTGTTGTTGTTGTTGTTGTCGTTTAGACGGCTATTTTTGGAGCCCTGACACTACTGACAGAGATGATTCGACGATAGCTGCTGTAGTACCGTTTGCTATTTTCCTGTTATTATTTAATGCACTCTGTGTTTTTATATCATTTCAAGGCCCTTTTCGCTATGTCAGATGTTGTTCTAACCCCCCCCCCCCCTCCCTCTGACCTATTGATCTATTTGTCTTGTTTTCAAGAATATGTATAATATATATGACATAGAATTATAGGCCCGATTAATATCGCATTACGAACTGTAAATGCATATCAGGTACATAAAAATAATGAAAGGAGAATACAAAAGAAAAAGGACCTACCAATGGTAATTTCCCACAGACCGATCGTAGTACTTGTTACTAACCTGGGTGCCAAACGTAGCTCGGGTTCCGGCCCCATTCGAACGTAATAAAGTCCACTGAAGAGTTTAGGTAAAGTTAACGGACGATTCCTTACTTTTGAGCACCTCCCCCCCCCTTCACCCTATCCAAGTTCTTCCTTTGTATACACTGATCCTTTCCCAAGCCTTGCTTTCATCTACAGCTAATTTCATTCCCATCCATTCTCATGCTTTCTTTTAGGTACATGCCTTTATCTATTTTTCTGTTACCCGTTCTCGTTCTTTGTCCACTTCAATTCATGATTTTTTCTTGTCCATTCGGGCTCGCTGTACTGGACTGCGGAGCAAATACCATAATAATATGCACATCAATGATTTCATTTCCCAACTGGACTTGTTGACTTGTTGGTGAGCGCATTCTCGGCTGTTCTTTCACTTTTTAAGTCCAGTGAGAAACGGCTGCTTGACGACCGGAGATTCTGCGTCTTTGAAAATGAGTACTGTTTTATAAATAACATTTTTATTCATGGAGCACCTCGTCTTCCTGAGACCCCAGTTCTACATTCAAGTATTCTAATGACATTATATCCTGAAGACCACTTGAGTTTAAAAGAATTAAATCCTGTTTCATTCTGTTTACTTCCTTTCTCTGTTTTCAATTTGATCTCTTCCCACCACCCTCCACCCCGTACATCGTGTTCTTGTTTTCGTTATTCTGTTTCATCACTCGTGCTCCCCGGCTAGCTTCACTTCTGTTTTGTGTCTTCGGTCTCTTTTCGTCTTCTCCCCTTCTTATCTTTTTCCCCCTGGGCTCTAGTCATACTTCTGGTCTCAAGACACATGCCAGCAATATTGTTCCTATAAATACTGTCATCGTTCGCTCTTTAAAAAATCACATTCTTAATATTCATAGTTTCCAAGTGCACGGTTGGCTGGAACTCTCATTTGATTTTCTCTTTCGTGCCTATTAAAGTCATTATCACTCATTCTTTTCTACATACGAGTAAATTACTCTCTAGCAACACCTCTAATCTTCAGCACTTATAATATGACATATTTGTGTTGCAACAGAGAGAGAGGGGGGGGGGGGAGAAAGAGAGAAAGAAAAAGAGAAAAAGAAAGAGAGAGAGAGAAAGAGAGAGAGAGAGAGAGAGAGAAAGCGAGAGAGAAGGAGAGAACGGGAGAGAAGGAGAAAACAAGTACGAGAGAGAGAGAAAGAGAGGGAGAGTGAGATAGAGATAGAGATAGAGATAGAGAGAGAAGAGAGAGAGAGAGAGAGAGAGAGAGAGAGAGAGAGAGAGAGAGAGGGAGAGAGAGAGAGAGAGAGAGAGAGAGAGAGAGTATTTTTACATTATGTGTGTGTGTGTATGTGTGTGTGTGTGTGTGTGTGTGTGTTTGAGTGTGTGTGTGTGTGTGTGTGTGTGTGTGTGTATGTGTGTGTGTGTGTGTGTGTGTGTGTGTGTGTGAGTGTGTGTGTGCTCCCATAATACCTAGTTTCACCATCGGGTTACTTAGTACACAACCCCAGTGGGAAATCAAGAACCATCGTACGCTTGGTAATGTGCGCCTGTGACGAAATTTCAGCTTTATCGGTCACGATTTTTTTCCTTTGAGTTTTCCGATTCTTTAAACTTAATTCTCGCACTAAGATAACCTCAAACGCCCGCGGTGTCTCTATGACTAGGCCTTCTTCCTTTTTTTCTTTTTTTCTTTCTTTTTTCTTTCTTTCGTTCTTTCTTTTTTCTTTCTTTCGTTCTTTCTTTTTTCTTTATTCATTCACCTTTTTAAATGACAGGCCTGCAGAGAACACAGTGTTTTTGTCATCAATTTTATCGGTTGATAAAATAATACATTATCGAAATGTTTGTTTTGAGTTATAACGTTATCTATTACCAGCACAATATCGCTCGAAGGAAAAAGAAAGAGTTCAGTTCGATTAGAACTATGTCAAACTTAGGTTTTCGCTGATAAAAACTTGACACACCATTGCAGTAGATGGCGAAGAAACTATACAATTCTTGGAGACATCGTATCGCTTAGTACGGAGACAATGCAAACGACAAGGTTACTGGATAGTGAAAAATGCCCTGTATTGATCATCTTAGAATAGTTATAATTAATTTATACCGTACCTTTGTTTTTGTGTTATGGTTATTTTTACTGTAGCCGTAATTGCCACTGCCACTGCTGCAGTTGATGATGATGATGATGATGATGATGATGATGATGATGATGATGATGATGATGATGATGATGATGATGATGATGATGATGATCATGATGATCATGATGGTGATGATGATGATGATGACGATGATGATAATGATGATGACGATGATGATTTCTCTGTTGATGCCGCTGATGTTGCTGCTGCTGTTAGTGCGTGTTCCTGCTGCTGCTGTTTCAACTACACACTGCTGCTGCTACTGTTGATGATGATGATGATGATGATGATGATGATGATGATGATGATGATGATGATGGATGTGCTTATGTTTCTGCTTCTTCTCCTGCAGTCGATAGTCTTAACACATATTTCCAGCGCCTTTTATATGCATGCAATACATTTTGCACTACAGATCTGAAAATAAGTTTCTTCTCCCCAGAAGTTAGGGTTGAACATATAACCATACGTCTGAGGAGAAAGACCGAGATATTTGATAATTACTCTCCCCTGCACGGGAATCGAACTCAGATGTGTCACCACGTGATGGAATCAGGCGCTTGTCACTTTTTGGGCATGTGGAGATATTGGTATCATCTTAAAGCCTGTTACCCTGTACATTTGCCTTGCCTTCGATGAAAAAATACCCATCTATCTTGAATAGAAGTTGAGAATTTCTGATTGTAGGAGATGGGAGTCGCCTGGTTTCAGGGGTAACATTAACGAGAAAATGATCCTCAAAGTTTTGCGACTTCCATAGCTTCAAAGTCCTTGGAAACTGAAATTTAACATTTTTTGTGCCTTTAATAAATGTTCCTCAGCAAAAATTACAATGTATTTGAGTCTTTGAATGGACATAAAAGCTGTTAAGCCACAAAACAAAAATTCGATTAAAATGCCCAAACCGGTGGAAAAATACCAGTTTCTTTGATTTCATTATTTTGACGAGAGTCTGATTTCACCACGATGCTCCACATATTTTCAATGTGTTACCGTGTTGGACCTAAAAGCGACTCCACGGACGCCCGTTAGATTAAACATACAATTATAATAATGAAATTGGAATGCCAATGGGACGAGTTCCTTCAAAAACCATATTGGTTAGAAGACTACAGACATTTTGTAGTATCACTTTTGACATGTGCACCCATATATTGGGTAAGACAGCGTACAACCACAATTTCTCCCTATGTCCGGTTAGAAAAGATGGCAATTAAATATATAATATACTTCATTTACTCTACATTAGCTTCTTGCAGAACCGTAAAGCATCACGGGGAGAACAAATGTCCGTCTGCGACGAGGTGAGCGGTCTTCATAATTTACATGTTCTGCGTGGAACATTTCTAAATGCCCAAAATATCACTCAAACTTTCTTTGCGCTAGGGCTCGAAACAGCTGATTAGGGTTAAACTTTGAGCTTGACCCTAAGTGACTGAGTCTAGTCCTTGCCGATTCTTATCAATAGGAGGTTAAAGGCTTAGCTCAAACAACATGTTTTTGCCCCTTATTTTGAAAGTAAGCGGTAACAAAGGGCAACGAGATGATAAACTCCGATGACAGTTGAAAAGTCTGGAGAGGAAGACGTTGGGGGGGGGGGGGGGGGGGGGGGGGGGGGAAAGGACATTTTTTTTCAATTTGTTTATGTGCATGCGTAACGACATTCTTCTTTTTTTTGGGGGGGGTGGGGGTGGTTCAGTTTTGCACTGATAGCACATGTCTCTTCAGTATCACACCTGGCTTATTTGTTCTGGACTGAGAAAAGTACGTTATAAACATAAGTGAACGCTACGTTCAATAAGATACTAGTGAACTTAAAACCACTTGTCTCTATGTTCTCGTAAATGGAATTTCAAAGATAAAGGGCCAGGTATACTACAGAATAAATCACTGATTAAAAGCCAACACACTATTTTGTTCAATGGTTTGCATTGCGTGAAATAGCCGTTTATAGTGAAAGAAGCATCGTAATTACTCTCGCCTGCAATGTAAGTGTGATAATATGTACTGGCCTTCCGTGTCAATGAAATTGGGCAATATCTTATTAATAGGAATAGGTTTTACACGAATCTATCTCATTATACATTACTTCAAACGACGATTTTCATTTTAGTAGATACATTTAATAATAATTTCTTTTTTTTTTTGGTCAGACTTATATTGTTTGTCAGTGTTGCCTCGGTATGGGACCATCCCATCACTTTATCTAGCCTCTTGTATCAATCATATTAAAGATAAACTATTTTGAAAGTTCGAACAAAGTAAAGCTTGTTCAATGTTTGAATCGGGCACTAAAGTAATGA